AAAAAAATGTGGCAGCCATTTAGATTTCCTAACAAAGGGCTAATGGGAAGTGCAGAGCTCCAGCTTCCTGAAATGTGATTTGGATCTGGTCTTTCGATCATATCTGATCCACATTGGATCAGGGCACAATCCAAAATGCTGATTCAAATCAGACCTTCCCCACAGTCCTAATTGTTAATCTCCATTAGAATAGACCCATTGAGTCAATAGAATTTACAGAAGTATTGACTTACTAAATTGCTACTAATTCAAGGGAACTACTCTAGTATTACCTCCAACATTTCAAAGATGACAACAGGGACACACGTGGCCCAGAAATATTAGAGTGTGGTTAAAATGGCAATTAATGACAGACAAGCTAGGAAAGGCTGCAGCAGTTTGCTCTTGCCTGACCCTACTGAGAAGGATAACATTCTGTCCCTTCTCTCCCCTCCTCTTTGATGAGTTAATTGAGTACAAACTACTTTTGCAATTTGAACTCAGTTTGCAGCATTTGATTATTAGATTAAGGCCTAAAACCTAGGAACCAACCATCCTAAATTCAGCACCCTGGGATCATCTCTCTGCTCATTGCTATTGTATCACATTAATGTCCTGATAGTGGTGTTCTACCCTATATCAGTTTTCCTTAGCCCTCCCCCCCACCCTCACATGTCATGGGTTTTCAGTCATCTGGAAATAAAATATACCAGTGTTTTGCAAAGTTAGCCTTTCCTCAGATAAGCTCAGGCAGAGGGTTATCCACGGCAGATTGTGAGGGTATTTCTAAGGGTAAATAAAATTATAAACTATGTGTGCCTTCAAGTCATTTCCAACTCATGCCAGTCCTAAAACAAACCTATCGCTGGGTTTTCTGAGGCTGAGAGTGTGCATATGTCCAAGGTCACCCAGTGGGTCCCCATGGCTGAGCAAGGAATTGAACCTAAGCCTCGAGAGCCATAGTCCAACGTTCAAACCACTACACTATGCTGACTCTAAAATAATATAGCATGATATAAAAATACTTTAATGGGAGGGGCACTCTGAATTTTCTGCCTCAGGAACTGCAGTGTTTTGGGCAGTCTCTCTGACTCTCCATAATGGATGGCCTACTAGCCTACTGCAGGTAGGCATGCATGCCTAGCAGTTCCTGTTTATCACCCTCAAATAAGACAGATTGAAGGTTTGCACAGTCCCTTAAACCCTGGCTGCTGTTACTTTAGAAGACACGCATACACAGCAACAAAGAAAAGCTCCCAGAGGAGCTGTCAAAAAATAAAATAGAAGAAGAGCTTCAGAGTACATCACAAATAATTGGTATCCTCTTAGTTTTTCCAGCTAACACAGAGGTAAAGTTACAAATGGGCAGATCCCAGTGCAAGTCTCTCCTCCCCGTTTTCTTCTGCCTGAATTTCTAGTCACAGCAAAGTACATAAAACTCACATCCCCATGGGAAGGGGAGGACAGATCCCATTTATTACTGGTGACATGAAAAAATATCTGGAGAAAAGAAAGCCAAAATAGCAACATAAAAGTAGAGCAACATTAACAGCATGATCCTTTGTTATAAGTTTGAACAGTTTCAATAAGATTCTGAAGGTACATAATATTCTTTGCAGAACTAAAGCATATTTGTATGATATCTGAATTAGCATAACAAGAACTGTGAATTGGCAGCTGGGCCAATAACTGGGCACCATACAAAGTTGCCTGATCAAAGAAGAATATAAATGGGTTCCCCCCTCCCCTCTTTTGTAGGCCTTTTAGATAGGACCCAAAGCATATTTCAGGAAAGAATCAAAGTTTCCTATCATAAAGGCTATTAAGAATACCCTTTTGTCTTCAACATGCCTTTTAAAAAATGACTATAATTCAAATGTTAGCCTTAACAAAGTGATTATCTAATCATAATGATCTGGATAATGTTAATTTCTTTTTTGCTTGCTTAAATATGTGCTTATTGGCCACCAGTCATCAGAAGAGAGTGTCATGTGCCACTTTTCAAACTTTCTGTGATGAACCTTGCACTTTGTAGATATCCTGGGGGAACATTCCAGGTTGGAGGGGCCATGTTTCTTACTTTATCCTTCCAAAGCCTTGTTCTGTTTGAAGGCATCCACTTAAAATATTGTTAAAAATATAGACCAATAAGAAGGGAAATAAATCCTCCACTAAATGTTAGCAGCAGGACAGCAAAGTAAAAGCAAAATATATTTAGATTATTTCTAAAATTGCATCTGTATCTAAAATTAACATGCACATATTTTAAAAATGCATAACTAGTCATCTTATCCTGTGTTTTATGAAAGGCACAGGCCCAGCTTTTTTGAGCCTCACAGCTGTCCTACATCAGCTGAGAGTGTGACATGGCCCTAGACTCCAGGACCTTGAGCATGGCTAACACAATGTGTTGCCTTGCCATCCTGCCAGACATTTTTAATGACCAAATTCTAAACTCTTTCCTATCAGGTACCAAGTGCCAGGCTCTGAAAAGACAAGAATACTCCATATGTCACCATAATTTCTCAGCTTTGTCCGACTATACACCTAACCTGCTTTAGCTGTACCATGGAGTCCACCAGACAAAGCCTTACCACCACCATTGTTTGCTTCAGTCTCCTATAACGATTTAGAAGTTCATGCAAATGAGAGGCATTCTTCCTCATCTGGCCGCCCTCAGTTCAGCTTCCATTCCTGCATGGATCTCTTCTCTGCCCATGTCCATGTCCCCATAAGAGATTACCTTTAAATATTAGCAACTACTACAGTCCCTGGTTTGATTAACAGTGAACTAGTGAAAATTAAGAGTTACTGCAATATCCCAATGAGTCCTACCATTGTTTCCAGGCCCATACCTGAGAAACCAAAATTCAGTAGCCAAGCATATTACCTGGTGGTTGCTGGTAGCTGCCATGTATCAACAGTCTCTGATTGACATAAGGGACGTTATCACACTGGGGTCTCAAAGCGGCAAGAAAGCGGCAAGAAAGTGGAATGGAATCAATCCAGAACCATATCGGAAAGGACTCAGCAAGATGGAAATGGTTATCAGACGCAATTGGAATCATTGCGGAATTGACGATGCCGCGATGGTTCCGCTCCGGGGA